CCATATTACATGGCAAACGTGTAGCCCTTTCGACCACTGACTTACGTGTGGCGCAACTAGCCGAACCATTGAAAGCAATTCAAAGTCAACAAACTGTAACGAGGCGACGGAGTGTGTACTACCAAACACGATTTAGCGGACTTCCATATTGCCCCGTCGGTTCTTGCATCAAACATGTGCATCACTTCACCGCATCCATCAGTGGTCCAACACAAATAATCTTTTGACATCCTCAGTGTGCTGTGGCCAGTTCTCAAACTCATGTAGTACCACAGTGTAGCGAAACATTTCCTTGTAGAATGGTGTGATGCTCGGTCGTCCCAGTGAGTGCCGGAAACTTTGGGTTACCACACGGGTCTTAGCGATGCATGTAGAGTAGCCCCGTTGGTGATGTGGGGGGCAGTTACCGAGCTGAGTAAACCGAACAACTGCGTGGGCCCATTGTTCGGTTTCAGCCTGAACTGGGAATTATAAATGGCTCACTCATGTATTACGCTTGAAGATGCAAATCATATACCAAAACGTGCAACAGTTACGTGACAGCCGGGTTTCGTCGAAATCGAGGATGCATCGACCACATCTTCCCCTTGCGCCAATGGTTGGAGCACCGCCATAATTATTGTCGACCCACCGTAGTCACGTTTCCCGAAATCAAATGTGCCTTTGATTCGGTTGATCGATGTGCCGTTTGAGACTGTCTCCTTAGGAAGTGATCCTGAAAAATACGTAAACATTATCAGAGTGCTGTGCACGCATAGTTCGAGCAGTGAGCATTTATGGCAAACTGTCGCCGCCCTTTAATATCTCCAGCTGTGTAAGTTAGGGTTACGCGCTGTCACCTTTCCTCTTCAACCTTGCCCTTGACGAAGTCATGGAAACAGCGTCCGCTGGGCACGATTTACAAGGTGTGGAGCTCCCTCCTGGTGAGCGACTCCTTGACTTGAAGTATACGGACGACATTGCTCTCATATATGACAGCGCCCAAATTTGCCAAGTAGCATTGAACAGGTTAGCACTGGTTGTCAATTGTTTGGGGCTTGGCTTCGCTCCCTCGAAACGCAATGTCCTTCTCCAAGATTCGCAGGGATCCTAGCGCTGACCTTTGGTAGTGATCACCTAGAAGTCCTTCAGGAAATCAAGTATCCGGGCAGCTATATTATCGCCCGTGGGATTGAAGATGAGGTCACGAACTGTATAGCAAAAGCTCGGGTGCTTTTGCCAATCCCCATCACCTGTGGCGCCGACGCGACATCACTCTCGCTTTGAAGGGCAGTTTATAATGTATCCGTCAGTTCAAGTCTCCTATGCGGTTGTGAAACCTGGCGCATCAGGTCGACAGGCATAAAGAAGCTAGCTACGCTTGACCATCGCTGCCTTTGCAGCTTAGCTCATGTCTGGTGGGAGCATCGCTTGAGCAATGTACGTGTTCGGCGTCGTGTGTATGATGCAGGAAGAGCGGTTGAACCGCTCAGCACCATTATATCACGCACCAGGCTCCTATGGCTGGGCCACGTGCTGCGCATGCCAGCACACCGACTTCCGCGTCGTGCGTTGTTTGCGCTTCCGGGGTCTGGATGGAAGAGAAGGAGAGGAAGCCAAGCAATGACTTGCTCAATAGCTATGAAAACCTTCGTTTTGAATTTGGCGTCGGTTGGTGTATCCCGATCGCCTGGCTGGGGTCCGAATGATGTTGAACACGTTTGGTTGGTAACACTTGCTGACATGGCTAAGAGCCCCAATGGCGTTTGTGTAGTGAGTTCCTTTTACTATCCCCCTCCAGTTACGATATAGCAGAGGAATAATGTGATATTTTCCATTATATTGTTTGCTTTTTGGACATTTTTGTACCCTGTGACTTTTAGTATCATATCTTTTTGTATTGCGACACATTAGCTGAGGTGTGTTACCCTCTGCTAACGTGTATTGATGATGACGATAAGCCTATTTAATAGTGCTTAGATAGCAGCTATATTGGACCAAAAGTGACGTATATTTTACTCATACTTTAGACAATGTTTGGCCACCAGAATGAACTTGAACCTCAGCATCACAGATGAGAGTCATTCACATGATCGTTTTTATCTCTAAAGCGACATGGGGAATAGTGGTATCGCTGACGAACCATTTGTCGTGGTGCTCGGGAGAGAGTTTCCATCAGATCTTGGCACAAAGACCACGAGAGTCATTGTACGGAGACCTTAGGTTAAAGGGTCATTCCTCTCGCATACACCGCGACCATTAGGCTCGAACATGACCCTCAATTCAAGTGACGACGGTGGCCAACATGGGAAAGTTGATAACTCTGATGAAACCTATACCCTCCTCCACCACCACCATTCGTCGATCAGTGGCCGAGTGGTCTGCACGCCTGGCTTGCAATCATATGGTCACCGGTTCGAGTCAGGGTAGGGGTGGGCGTGCTCGCGGTATACTCAGCCCACGCGTGACTGCTGGTGGTCTAGCGACAGAGAAACGCTGTTACGGCGTACAGCTGACACATTATTCATTATTACAGTCAAACTTGTCCAAGGCGACCACTCAGAGGACCGACAAAAAGTCCTCGCCTTGGACAGTTGGTTGCCGTGGTACAGGATCATGCATAGGCGACACTACTCATGATCAACTTCACATGTGTAATAAACTTTCAAATCGCGAACTAGATCTGTAAACCAACGGCTTCTACAATCAGTTTTAGCTTCTAATTAAGGCAACAACAGTAGTAGTGTATAATGTGCGATATATGAGTAATAAGAATGCAATAAAGTTACGGTTTATGATTCAACATTTACCAACACCTGCAAATCATCGAAATCCACAAGCTTTGGAAAAATCGTATACACACATTTCTGTTTTCGTAATCATTTTCCACCAGATGAAAAATATCAAGTATAGTGGTCTGTTGCTTGGCAGTTGAAATGAAAGATGAATTTAGTTTTTCCCTCACGTTCATGATAAGTTCAAGCATGTCAGTGTGTCCGCTATGTATTGCGTAGGAGCGCAAAATATCAACAGCACCCTGTGCATCTGTGAATGTATACGTTTTCAGAACGTCTATAGAATCCTGTTCCTGCTCGTCGTCTGATTCACTATTCACATCCTCAGCTGCTAAAATTGATGTGGCAAGCAGGTCCCAGTTTATTTCTGTTGTGTTACAGGTTTGGAGATAAGAATCAACCATATGGCTGTCAGCCAGTTGGCATCCAAACAATTCCTTTGAAAGAGTATCCAAAGCAATAGAGGTTGAAGGACGTACAATTTGCTCATATGTCTCAGGTCCACTTTGCATTGCTCTCTCAGAATCCAATTTTGCAGAACGAGAAAATCACGGCCTACAAAACACTTAGAAATTGTTGAGTTCTCCACCTCCTTCCATGCGGCAGCTATCCAGAACACGACGTCCAATAAATTTACTCGTTTCATGAGTTCAGTGCCGGACATACCTTTGTGGGATACCATGACCGTAATCGAATGCAGAAGCTGCTTTTTCCTAAGCCAATTTAAACGCGTGAATGACACCCTGGTCGAGGGATTGGACTAACGCAGTGGTGTTGAGTGGCAGGAACTGCAAGTTGACATCAAGTAGCTGCAATTTGGGATGGCAAGTAGCATTGCCAACAACCAGTATGATGTCGCGCTTTTCTGCATTTTTCTGTCAAAACTTTGAAGCCAGTCTTAGAAAATAGCTGCAGTCATCCATGCTCTTTTATTATTCTTCCAAAGTATCGGTAGTTTTTTCATGTTGTGGCTTCCCAATCACTAAAGCCGGTTCTCATTCCCCCAACACGTTAGTGCATAGCATAAATGTGACACACTCCTTGCTTCTTTTCCCACCTGCGCATTTCTCTCCCTTGATAAAAAGTTTTATCCGACGTCACTTTGCATAACAAACCAGTTGGTCGTTGCTGGAGAAGACAGAGTGCACCGTCTTTGTGACGGTACCATGCTCAAAGTGTGATCCCATGTAACCTGTTTGGAACGGGCTACGGCCTAGCCACCGGCTTGTATACGTCTGATGTGCATAATTTCCCAATTAGGCCGGAATGCTTCCGTTCTGTTTGTTAAACGAGTGTGGGCCGGCTCCGTTGATGAAACTTGGCTTCCATCCACATGCCTCCCGGTCTTATTCCTTCGGGTTTACACCGGATATGGAGTGTGTGGGTGGTGCAGCGCAAGCTACCCATGGTCTTTCTGTAAGCGCAACCGTCCTGTGGCTACCCCCGTGGAGGCCACATTGACAGGCGAATCCGTATACAGATGCCGCCAATCCATGGGGAACCGAATAAGGCACAGAATGCGTGCAATCAGTGCAGGGCATGTTGTGTGGTTTCTGTGGCAATTATGACATCTTGAAACCAAATTTAAGCTATCTGCGATATGATGGCAGACTTTCATGACACCTCTACTCGCAATCTCAGCCAGTCGTACTAGTGATGGTCACCTTGAACAGGTGCTAGAACGCCTGGGGACAACAAAAGCGTGGTCGCGGTTACGTTAGCCAGGTGGACGCCATAGAAAGGTTGAGACCAATGAGAAAATATTGGAAAATCGTGGGGATATTTTTGGCCGGTCACCATGGCAGGTTGTACTGTACCAGTTAACCAGTTTGCCCCGGAAACACAACTCCCATCACCAAACCATCATTTGGTTTTTAGTAATATAGGTCATTTGACTGGTTCTTGACTCTGTGTGAGGCGTTGCCTGCATTTGGAATGTTTTCTCCTACGTGCTAGGTCGTAACATAATCCTCTTCACATTTGATGTCCTTGTTTGTGTAGCTAAATCAAACACCGTGTTTTATATGCCCTTGAGCTGGTACGCTGTCCATGCTGTGTACCTGTCCTTTTCCCGACCAACCGAGCTCCAGATGCCACAGGTTAGACAAATGAGCTGTTTCCTTGTTGCTGTTCGCTACAGTTATCGCTTTCCCTTTCGCTGCAGTCCCCGTCTATGTAGCCACAGCTATCACTTCTCGTTTCCTCTTGCATTCCCGTTCCGGACAGATTTCGGCTGTGAACGATTCATTCGAGTCCCACTCCTCCCAGTTGCGGGAAGTACTCTCGGCGTTTCATCAGCTGTGCCAAATGTTGAATAAAACCATGCAGAACAAGTTGTATTTGGCAGAGAATTTACAGCAACGGCAACAGTAAGTTCCTTTTCTTTGTGTGAATTCGATGCGGCTTGTTCGCTACCTCCAGCGACAGTTTGTCCGAGGTCGATATGTTCCACCTACATCGAATGCAACATATTCTTTGTTAGCAATCACCATCAGCGAAAACATGCTCCCGGATTCTCGTTGCAGGTGTATTGGGCTCCAACTCGTTGGTTTGAAATTACGATCATACCTGAGACCGCGCACTCATACCAGAGTTTGCCTGAGCGGAAACTTGATTCTCTTCGTAGTGCGACACGCTTTTTCGCCCACGGGACCGACGATAGCTACAACATTTTTCCGTTATGTGGGGTACGCTGACCACAATCAAACGAGTTCCCTGGTCGTGACATCCAGCACAGTATGCTCGATCGTACGTATATCAGGCTACAAGTTCTCAGAAGTCAAATTCTATCGGTTGGTTGTGTGCGACATTTCGATTTGACTACTCTCTAATCAAATCCCTTTCCGAGTGCGAGCATGCTTGACTTGAGTACAATTCGACCAACACTCCTCCAATAGCCATGAAGCGAGTGGATGTATAAACACCAGCCAGTGTGTGCATCCGTGACCGTCGAAAATTTGCACTTGCAGAACTAACATCTCACTCAGCGCAGTGGGAATTGACTTGCATGCACACGTTTGCCTATCCGGCGGAGAAATTAAATTATACGTTGCTTCTGCCGGTGGCCGAGTGGTCTGCACTCCTGGTTTGCCATCATAAAGTCACCGGTTCGAATCCGCGTGTGGGTGGGCGTCCTCCCGGTATACTCAGCCCACGCGCGACTGCTGGTGGTCGCTCGACAAGGAAGTGCCATTATGGCGTATTGCTGACGATTGCTTCACATATCACCGTTCCCCCATTGACCACTCATGCATCACTAACCTGTCAGTGATGAGGTATAGATGTTTGCAAGCACCGAACCTGGGGGAAGTCACTTGACATGATCTACATTGATTTCAGTAAGGTGTTTGGCGTAGTAAACCATAACGTTTTCATCCACAATTTAGGAATTTGCGTCGTTTGTGGCTCACTGCACCAGTGGACTAGCGGGTACGAGTAGACGATCATTGGGTTGGTTTGTTTCCATCTCCTAGTTAAGTAAACCAGCGAACGGTGCTGTGGCCTACTGTGTCCCTGACCCACATCGGCGTTTTATCTCCGTATCTCCGGTCGCCGTGGGCCTTGTGTGCGACGGCCTGATGGTTTGGTGAGCGATGAATGATCCCGAGGATGGCGACGTGCTTCAGCATGATCTCGACCTCAGTGTGTTATGCAATGGTCGGCCTGTCGATCAACCCAGTCAAGTCGTTATTTATAAACCTGGAGAGGGCGGTGACAGTGGAACCTCCACACAAGATTCCAAGTGATACATTCGACACCTTCCGTGAAGGAACTACCCGTATCCTAACCCTCCGATTTGAACTTCATGGCCAAAACGAATAAGCTATACTAAAACGGGCTGCGCAGACAGCAGGTGCTCAGACACATCTTCAACACCCGGTCTGAAGAGTACCACTCGTGTTTTCTCTTTAATCATAGTACTCGGCTCAGTAACCGGTACGATCATACGTGGCAACATGCAGAGACTGGGACAAGTTCATCTTGTAGCTACCAGACTCATCCCAACGTTACGGACTATGTCGTACGTGATTCGTTGTAGTTGACTAAAGCTGTACACCTTGTTGCGTCGTCAGTTTCAAGCTAACGTCATAATGACGCACCAGATATTACAACTCAGTAGTTACCCAGTTGTAATATCGGTTGATGCTTTCGCGAACTCCATGCGAAACACGCGGACACCGGCAAAAGTTTGTACTATCAAGTTTCAAGCAGGCAACTCACTCTCTATACTTGGGGCGTCAAATAGCAGAATATTGGAACCGTTTGCCCGAGATAATAGTCGAAGCACAATCGGTATGTGAATCCAGAAATTCATATAAACCCCCCTTGTGGATTGTAGGTCTATAGAACGTTTCGCAGCTGGATAAAACTGTGCATTTCTACACTTTAGAAATACACGAGCATCAGTGAGACTAATCTGTGTGGATACTCGGTTAAATATCGCTAGAGTTACAATAATTTTCATGCAGGCTTGTTGCATCAGAGCCCCGCGACTGCTTCCACCCACTAACGATAATGAGAACACGAACGACCACGGACAGAAATTCAATGGTTCTTTTACATAGGGAAACCAGTTCGTTATATAGCATAACATGCAAACATGAAAGCTAACTAGAGTGCGGAAAACATGCGGACAATTAACGACAATAAGTACGGAATAAATGAGAAACCAATCAAGTGCACACAAAGGACGTAAGGTGAGAGTGATACCGTCAAAGTATGCCTGCGATCTGAAGGCAAAAACAACGACTCCAAATAGCCAATAGGGATGATGAAGTGATGCGTTAAAGCAAACATCGATAAACCTCCATAGCGCAACGAAAGTCTGCAGTCATGAAGGGCTACACAAACATACCTATATTTTTCTTGCACCTACAATGCTTTTCTCTTCACAAATTTCAAACTAGCAAAAATTAAAAGCGTTTTAACATGATACTCTGTTTCGCGTATTCTCGTCAATTGTTTACATACATTCCGTGAAATCATCTCGTTGCGTCCAAATTGGAAACTGTGCAAGGTCACTCAACTGAAAGAAAAGTGATCAGTAACCTTACAGAGGTAAGACTAGGCTGGTCGTAGGTTCAATCTGTTGGTACAAATTGGGCTTCAGCCACCGAATAACTGAAGCTTCGGCAAACTGAATCAATCGGGCATTTCTGTGCATGTTAATTACTTCAATCGAATCACAGGGACATCGCACGTAGTGTAGTCTAGGAGGTGCTCTGCAATTCGAGACCATTGGCGACCATAGTACGTGGAATGTGCTCTGAATTCTTCGCTGTATGCATAGTACTCAGTTACGGATTCTTTCAAATATAGTTTTGCTACGGTTCAGCGAGCGACTACTTCCTTGAATACAACTATTCGATAAATCCATCTTTCGGAATTTCTGTAATGCCTCCTAGTCGGGTAGATTTTGTGGAGTTCGGAGACAGCTTCGTTGTGCACCATTCCCCCCCCCTACTAGATGGATGCACAGCGGAAAACCCAACATCTGGCTAACTGTTGAAAGAAGAACAAGTCTATATATATATATATATATATATATATATATATATATATATATATATATATATATATATATCCTGAATTTGACTAATACACCAGCAGACGCGACGCACACGTTTCGCCAAGTGTCCGTCGCTGGCCATTTCGACTATGTTTGCAGCTAACGAGACAACCTTGCGCCGACAAAGCACGTTTGCGGTGTTTTTTTGCACTATTTCTTTTGCGCAACATGGAGCGGCGAACTCGAGTGGAATCAGTGTTAGTGGGTCATGCGCAATTCGATTGTTTTTTTTCAACCGAGATTCCATTGCACTCATGTTGTCCATACCCAGGGCCGAGACAGCAACAGCTGATATCACATGTTTCTCTCCCTAAGTGGCAATATGACAGGCTACCCTGTTTGTCGACCAGAGGCCACCAAAAGTGAATGTTTGGTACAGTTATTTTTGGGGACGCAACTCAAAACTTCGCCACTGCGACCTTATCCTGAACTTGTGGTTCGTTTTTTCACATGACTGAGCATTGCAATCTCGACAACTTTGATTCATCTTTCCGCTGACTCGATCTCTTGGCATCACGACAAATATAATGACACACAGCATTGGGGAGTGAGGGGACCGTGTTGCGTCTACCAAACAAGCGTATCGACGGATTCGTTCGCATCGATCGAGGATAATGTGGGCAAGGTCGTGTTTGCATGTCGGCTCTACGTATGTAGATGAATGTCAGCAAAGGAGGTCAAATCACATGACACGTGTGCCAATAGTACGCGAACGATGATGATTGCGGTGTAGATGAAGGGTGGATACACTGACAGACTGGCCTAAGCGAATGTCCGACAAATCATTCTTGTCTGTTTGTCTCGTCGGAACGATTGTCACGCAACTCTGGTGTGAGTCGGACGAGGGCCATTTCGAGTTCGTGCTGTCGTACGACCCCGACCAGACAGCTGTGTAGAGGGGGGAAGAAGGGGAAAGGTGTAGGTTGATTGTGCGACAGAGATCAGATGAATATGTAGGCCCAAAAGGCGACTTAAACAGCGCAGTTGCGAAGGTAGTGGGGAGGAGTTGAATATACATTAACGGTCAGATGCAGAAATTGTGCCAAAGCCAAGCGCTTATTTTGAGATGTCCTCAACTATCAACCGAGTCGGCGTAGATTGAATTCCCACTGCTAATGTGCAACTCGAATTGGAGACAACAGCGGTAGTCTTCCACTAGTTTGCAGCGCGAATGTTCAACTAGGAATATTTGGACGAAAATTGAATAGTTCCCTTTATATGATGGTTTAATATCCGGTATCTTACGACGAACTATATTATATGTAATTTCTACATTTGAAATGACTCTATGTACGTATAACTAAGCGAACACAGTTTGGTGCGTAGAGCCACCTAAATGCTCCATTGTGACAGGTAAGAATTGTAAAAACGAAGTTTCTGGTGAGTGAACGGCTGCCAACCTAAAAGATGTGTGTGCATATGGCTGTATGTAACAATAAACACGTACTCTACATTTCCACAGTCAGAACTTACGGCCGAAGACAGAAACGTATCTCTTAGGTACGAAACTATAGAAATCGTTCATTAAAACCAAACTACAATGGTCTCGGTACTTCGAGGAAAATTCCGTGCAATAAACCGTTGTCCATATTCCAAAGATGAGTTAAATACGTTTTCACGTCACAGATTTTATAAGAAGTCATTTCTTAATCTTCATTCAGAATGCAGACTGTTGGCACATTACCGACAGCCGCATGTCTTGAATTGGCTCTTCTCTTGCCTACTCGTTTTACGACATGTTACTGCCGCCCCCATTCTAGCCGATTGTCGATCATTCGAATTTGCTAAATTGCGCTAGCAGGCGCATCTCGTTTCCCACTGTTAACATTCACTCATTCGAGCGCTTTGCTCTTTTGGACGGACAGTGCTAAGCGGGATTTCAGCACGCTTCAGATCTCTGCCTATAGTGCCTGAAACCAAGCTGTATGCCGGTCATGATGGGAGTCAGTAAAACGGTGTATTTCAGAAGCAACCCTGTCCTCTGCAATCTTTGCAGCTTGCATGACAATAGGGGATAGGCTCGTCAATCACAACTGTTGTGTCGCCCCTGACGCCTCCGCCCCACGACCGCAAGAAGAAGTCCGAAGACGAGCCAGAAAGAGACTTGTATACATGAAATCACATTTGCTTATATAGTTTTTAAGGCAAAATGAAGGGAAGCTACTAAATTACACTTGAGCCAACCAGCAGAAGGAAAAACGTCAAATGCAACGGCGAATAAGCAACCGTGTACTCAAGAGCGAATCGCATATGTCCTTAAAAATAGCATCATTGGACTCCAAGCGTAAAGCGAACATCAATTTACAGTGACGGGCACTGGCCAATCAGAATAACGAAATGAATCGTTTAAGCAAATGTTACGCAACAAACGAGAATAAGAAATGCAGACCCAAAAGCTAAAAACTAGTATAATAATTGTGTGACAACTAAATATTCCTTTAACATAACCAAGTAGGAAAGTGATGCGGAAAAGCCAAATGAATGTGTTCTTGCAAATGGCACTGTTGAAGAGGACACGGAGATAAGCGTCCATTAACAATGACTTGTGTGTACTAATCGGGCTAACACAGTGGAGCGTTTAAACAGCAATCAAGAAGTAGAAAATAGGAAGAATAAAGCATGTCTATTGAGCTTGTTCACAAAATATGACTGTCTAGTGGCTATTCTCCTAATAACAACAATCCACCGCTGTCTCCCTTGGCTCATCTGCTGGCTAGTGGTACAAGTCGTTAATGGTCATGTTTCTACATTCTATTGGAGCCGATAGATGCGCACTGCTCGGTCTAGCGTTACGTCATCCTAAATCGGGTGGACAAAATTCTACCATCCTTGACTACGAATGGGCAGTCACACACACTGCGCGTGGCAACACAACATATTCATGTGATCATTAGTGGGCGATTTTGATGTTACTCATTGAGGGCTATTCACAGTAGCCTCCAAGTCAGATAGTCCTTCTGAAAGAGCACTAAATAACCACTTCATCAGTAATCGTCTGCTCACGCGTATGTCAATATTTTCGTCTCAACATCTAAATTGCTGTAAGTAGAGGCCATGATTCCTAGGCTATTCCTTGCGATATATCGCAGTTAGCTTGGGTGGAATGACAGCGTGTCGCCTTGTGGCACACTCTGCTGGCTAGTGGCGCAAACCGCCAGTAACTACGGACTCTGGTTCTGTTAAAGCCGATGGACGCGCACCACTGACCAGTCTGGACAGGAGAAAACCACTAACTTTTCCGTATGGTTGGAGGACTATGTGACTTGGAAGCTGCTACGATGTACCCTTAACTAAGTACGATACATTCAGTGTGATCCTTCCACTTCCCGGCAAACGAGACACTATCCTAACTTGGAGACTATCATTGTACATAGAAGCGTTGCTATTATTTTTTGCACTCCCCACCGCCTCATAAAACTGATAGTGGTAGGTTCAGTAATTAAACAACTACTCTCCAGACCCTAAAGTCCGGTAACTTGAATTCCCACAATTCGCATTATCAGGATAACAATAAATAACACCGGTGAGAAAATTAGGTCGGGAAGCGCAAAAGGAACACTAGCCGTCAACTTGATCAGAATGAAACGTTAACTATCAGATGCATGAACCGGAATGCGGGAGTGCGTAGTGGTAGGTGCTCATTATAATTTGGTAGTGGATTCGTAGTCATCTGGATTTGCTTTCCTCGCTTTCAGTTACTTGTCGATTCTTTCGGTTGCTCGACGGGTTTCAAAAGTATGCTTTAGGTTAGGACACAGTAAGACTCAACCATAAGCCATTACTCAGAGGGGGTGGGGCAAATCGATGCGAAAAACATAGGTATTATATAGTGTATGACGACTAATCGGGTGAGAATTTGTTAACTTTTGAACGATAACTCTAGTAAATCTCTATCTGTCCATTATTCTGTCCATTATTGTTCATGTCATTTGGTAAAATGGTTAGACCGAGACGCACTTTCAAACATTTTAGTCAGTGTATAGTCTAGTCATTCGGGGTTTTAAGCAAAGCTTACTGGGTTCTGTCAACAAGTACTTTCGGCAACCATGGCTTTTGTATTGTCTAGAACCGACAGCAGGCCCGAATGTGTCATAGTTCGTTTATGCAGGCTGTATAATTCAGAGAGCATTAATTATGATCAAGAAACCGACTTATGCTGTTGGCCTTTTGACAGTACCCGAGTGTAGTGAAATACAGTATGGAACTACAGTAATTATTGTCCGAAGGTTCGTCTGCAATATCTCCTCCATGCAGTTACACCGCAAAGTTAAACGGTTAACAGAGATTAGGACAGGTCAATATATCGAAGGATAATCGCTCTAAGTCGATTTGTTTATGGAATATGGATTTTTGACGAAATTTTGAAGCTGATTCGTCATTTTCAGCTATCTACCATATGGCCTCCCACACATCCGGGAAGGAGCTATTGATCAAAAGATCCGCACACAGTATATAAACACATCGTCATTGCAGTCACGCAGTGATACCCGCCACTCATCATCCTCCGAAAGCGATGGTGATCAAAAAATCTAAGGTGCATCACTACTGTGGAGAAGGATAACGCTCACCTTACTTAAAATCTCGATCTGCAAGAAGATAGGATGGCATTGTAGATGCCATGGGTTCCCAGATATGATTCTAGCTTTTACAGTACATGCGTTAAGTTTGACGATCATCCACCTGTCTCTCCGAATGCGGTTGCTCAGTGGATCGATAATCTATCTCTTATGTGGGTGGTGATTCTGCAATAGCACTTTACGCTTTGAAGCTAGGAAATGTGTGCAGAGGGTTCATGCAAGGTTGAATTCTTTGCTCAGCGTTTGTCAACCAGCCAGATGAGGATATCCTCCGTACGATCTATGTCTATCAACTTTCCGCCTAACGCTTCAATAGCTGCGTTACTAGATTCTTCAAAGAGACACTCTATCACGAAGTCTGTGGTGAAATTGAGAAGTAGTGGAAAAACGGGACAACTCTGGCGAACGCTACTTGCTCTCAGGAATGCTTCCAATAATTCAACGTGTACTCTGACCCGACCTGAGGTCTTCCGGTACAGCACGCGCAACAGGTTTGCTTGTTTCGGTGGAACACGGTTCCCGGCATTTATGCCGAACAGATTATCGACATTGTTTAAAGTGCTCTTGATTCCGCTTGCATTGCGTTACTTGGTTTGCAGTACGTGTGACGCTGGCGTAGCATCTGTTCAAGGCAAAACTATGATACTTATAGCCCAATTCCGTTCGGAAACACACTTGTTCTCCTCTTATTCTGTTTTTCCGTTCGTTACAACGGAAAGTTACACACTTTGATCCTCAAAACTACTTATAACTGCCAACATGATCCAGCGGAAAGACAAAGCATCAAAACTAATTAACTGTTTACATCAACGTTTCTGACTTCTTATCCACTTTGTGTCCAGATGTTTTTCTTTTCCTTAATGCAATCAATACAGATTCACACTGATTTGCAGTCATCTAACTCAGTCTTCAAATATTTTGCCACATGCCCTTCTGCAATCTCAATGAAGGCTCTTCACCAACCCAACATCGGTAGTGCCACTATTCGGGTATTGAGTTGAGAGGTCGATAGTCATGCTAAGTGTGTCACCTAGCCAACCTAATTGGTTTGTGTTCGGAGGGAGGTTCACTGCGCTATCATCAAATTGCCATGTATCCAACGTATCAATCATTACTCAGGCCTTTATGATACCGATTTCCGAATCCCGCTTTTCTTCTTGATTGCATCTATGTTTCTGTTGCTTCGTCCTGACACGCTCCATTGGTCATTCGCTGTTTCTTCAGTGTCATTCTACACTGTCTTTTTCACCTTTCGTCCTTTCTGCAGTTGGCTTCAAAATTTTCAATCGTACATCCACCGGTTGGACGCTGGGATCCACAGATGTCTGTCTCAAATGGAACGCATCACAAGAACTGGTACGCTGATTGCTCAGCTGCAGAAAGCACCCGAAGTGTATGCTCGGTGAGTTTCGTCCGTCGTCTAACGTTGATTACTCACTGAGTTGTTTCACATCCTATCCTTCCCTTGCGTGACATTAAAAAGATTACTCAACTCTTCATCCTATACCGTTACCTGCTCTTTCCTCAGCCCATCTCTGATAGTTTGTCAGTTCTCGATGCAGTTAGATAGTTTATTTTTGTCCTCCTTGGCCGACCATCCGCATCATGCTCACTTCCGTGATAGACCTGAGGCCATGTCACAATTGACCACTTGCCAATCCAGCTGTCCCAGCCCAATGTTGTTTAGCGGTTAGGATACGGCTCATCATCTTAGTTGATCTAGGATGTGTTTTGCGGATGGCTTCTTTCCTGGAGGTCCTACAGTTTCTGTCATGTTCACTTCTAATCAATCTCCTTGTTGCGGCTGTTCTGTTTTCTTGAAAGCTGTTTGTAATCGCGTCACACTGATTCCTCTTCACTACATTACTGCTTGTATTTGCGCGCCCTTACGCGAGAGATATCGATAACCTAAACTGTGTGTCAGGAACTCTGTTGGAACGGGTTGTTTTCTCCTCTCACCTATCACTGTGCCAGGGCAGTGAATTATTTGCCATTGCTGCCATCGCAATCGAGCTTGAACCGTCTACATTGGTTAAGACACAGTTTTTTCGCTGCTTCCCTGCCCATCTGGACTTGCATTTCCTTACTAATGCAATCTCTTCATCTATACAAAAATTTTGAGCAGCCGGCCGATGGCGTAGCGGAATAGTACGAAATATTGCGAAATGCATTCTAAATCAGGACCGCGATTCATTTTGGATGGTGTCGTAGTCAATTCGATCACCAGAATCGCGCATGAAATACGTAGTTGGCTTAGAAGTACAAGTTTCGGTTAACCTTCCAAATGTCCCGGATTCGAATCGCTGTCGTCTTCTATCTGCCTGACGAATTCCACTAAGCACCTTATGATCATGTCTAGCTAGACGTGGTGGTGTGGGGGTAGCTGGCTGATTAAGAGACGTACGGTCAAAGGACTGGAAGCCAATCAGTGCCGCGAGCGCAATTTGAACACGCTTACACGTGCGGAATGAACAGTGAAGAAAGAGTTTACGGTGTTCTGAGTCATACACTCTTCTGATCCCGGACAAAGGCAGACGAGTTGTCCGCGCATTGCTCTGACCACCCTGAGCGGATGGTGCAAGATGCGATGACAACTGCTCGAGCGAACGTGCGAAACTGACGGAGCTGGCAAATGGAAATCCAGTCAGTGACACCGGCGCAGGCTGACCACATTCTTCCAGTCCAGATAGCAGTAGTCCAAACAGCCTTAAACGAACGATGAGCGCGAGCCAATGAACTCCGACAGACGACTAGCAAGAATTAGCCATTTTTAGTACACTTCAGAAGAATGGCTGCTCGAATTCATCTACGGTGTAAATTGATCCTTTGTTACCTGAAGACCGACTTTTGGATCATTTCTCAGTCTTTGTTTTGACTCTCGGAGGGCTACTTCGACAGACTGCAGCGTTGTGAACGTACAACACCACACATTTATCCACGAAGAAACTTATCGCTGTGCTTGACTGGACGGGTGTTTGTCGTCTTCGTCGGTTGGGACTCGTGGAATCGGTCGCAGCGATGATTGGATTCTCCTTCATACATGTTCACCTGCATTCTCCATCTGGAGAAGTCTTCCCTCTCCTTCCTTTTCTATTTGGCTATATAAGCATTCTATTTTTAGTTGCGTTTGCCAACTATTACCCGTACACTGAATCGCACTGCACCTCGTTGCCTTGACTTACGTTACTAGGTAATAAAATCATAATACTGATGATAATAATATTAAAGTCCGGAGGAATCAGCATCTTAACAGTTCATTTTAGTTTAGTTCAGTTAAACAACCATAATCCCAGCACCGAAGTGGGGTGCAGTTGTCATGACTCACGCGGTAAGAATAACCATAAATGACAACCGTAGGAAAAATGAGACTGAGTGCAAACAGAATCTAACGAAAATGGAACTAAGCAAGAAGTACGCAAACCTAATCGAGATGGAATATCAACAGCAAGCTGTGGGAACTCAATTGACTGTGCGACTGCGCCGTATCTAATAAGATCTCCAATCACTGATGTGGACCATCACGAGGCCTCCATCCACGAAGACGACACGCACCAGCCTGACCAAGTTTCTCAAGCAATCCCTTCACGCCATCGTACCACGGTCCCTACTGGCCACCTCCCGCTTTCGCCCAACTTGGTGCAGCTGTGGAAAAGGCGACGCGGTACGAACGAGTTGTGTACTGGAGAACGAACGTATACATGTTATAACATATAAGCTTTTTGTCGCGTTTCCTTATGCATTACTCGATTTATTTTCTTTGTTATCTTTCTCACAAGTGATTGGCTGTTGCTTGATATCCCCGGTGTGGCTGCGCCTGATGTGCATGTTGACAAGGTGCTTACCTGTCTATTACCCACTACCTCGTCCATACTGGCTCCAGGAGACAGTTGGTCGTTGCTGGACTGGACAGGGTGCACGGTTCTTGTGACCGTGTTAGGATCAAAGAGTGGTTCCATGCACTTAGTGTGGAGCGGACTACGGTCCAGCCACCGCCTTGTGTGTGTGCTTGATTCCCAAATACAGTGTGCTTGTGTTTGCCTGTGAAGGAGTGTGGGCCGGCTCCGTTGATGAAACGTGGCTCCTATCCACATGCCTCCTGGTCTTATTCCTTCTGGTTTACACTGAACATGGGGTGTGTGCTTGGAGCTGTGGGTGGTGCAGCGCAAGCCACCCATGGTCCCTCTGTAGGCGCAGGCGTCCTGTGGCTGACCACAGTGACAGGCAAATCCAAAACCGGATGCCGCCAACCCAATATAGAATAATCGGACTCATTTGCACGCATTATTCATGGTGTCGTTCGATTCTACGCTGCGCCTTGTGCTATCGACTCAGCTTGCCATAACGGCACGATATAAGTTAAACGCTCCAGCGCTATCCATTTTCAAGACTAATTGAATTGTACCCTACGCGCCCGTTGTCCGCGGTGATTCATTATTCCTTGAATTCATCACGCCTGTTCGTTTCACCATGCTGCTCAGCGACAGCATAAAACACACCGAGAAACCCGATCAGCGGGGATACGTGGGATATGACCTAGTCAAGACAAGCGGTTGAGTTTAAGCGGACACTGGAGTGAGGCACAAGAAGGCTTCTTGCCAAATACCAACTGGCGGACCACAGTGTTGTTCACCCAGTGTTCTCACCAGATGTGAGCAATACCCCACAAGGATTGAAGATCCCCAACAATTAATCGCTTAATGTGTTTAGTGCGAATTGGCCAGGTTTGCTATCTATATAGTAACACCTGCCTTATTGCAACGTTATACATGCTACCTTGCACTGCTAGACTGATATCTCGCTGTTTCCATGGATGGTTGAGCCACTGGAGAGCTACACGGGGGTTGCTGATAGGCGAAATAACTTCTTCATTGATGTGATCACTAGATTTGACACAGCTATCACGGTACGTAAACCAGCCCATCACTTCCAGGGGCTGTTCGCTGATAGCTTGAAGCGGTGATGTATTGGTCCATTCCGGCAACAATGAACTTTGGAGATGCTAAGCACATGCCTAAACTTACAGCGTTACGCGTCAGTCTATACATTAGTGTTTGTATATTCACTGCGTCTGGCACTCGGGACACTAATACTAAAGTCAGGAGGAATGAGCATCCTGGCTCATCATATGAAATCTTTGTGTCGGAGAGAATGAAATGTAAGCGTGAGCACCATTAACTTCATAATCGCGCCATGTCCAATCTGCGCACATGTGTCTAATGTGTGCTGATCTCCCTTGGGACCCTATCCAGGAAGGCAGCAAGCGCCAACCCTACTCACTAAGTCAGTGAATTTATTACATGCACTTTGGTCATGTCATTGACTGACCACCTCGGGGTTTCATCTAACAAGGCACACTGTTGACAAGCAACACAAGCCGACGCAGCCTACTTGCAGGTATACGGGGCACATGGCCGTGCCACCGAAGGCACTCCAATGAGACGTCTGTCGCTAAACACCAACCGATGGATCTGCAGTTTAATTATTCCCTTATCTCAACAGGTGTGGGTAACACTGTAATTATCAGCCCCTGAGGGTATCCTCAGCGCATAGTGGTTAGCAATGGGGTCTGTGCATCAACTCTATACCATTTCCCGGCCAAGTTGTCCACTTGGGCAACAGAAATAATCTGAGGGGGCATTCAAAATGAGTCTACTCATTTTTCAATGGTCAGGCCAGGTGTCAACTCGTCCTATTGCTCTATCATCGCCTAGTACTAAGTACGTCCATTCGGCCGTGCATGTGCTCCCCGGTCGCCAAATGGAATACGCATGCGTTGGTGCAACAACACTGTTCACAACCAACTGGACGAGGCAAGTCACGGACTTTGGTATCCGATGGCAACAACCGGCGTTATGCACAGGAGACACTGATAAGTGTCGTGAAATCCTGTGCTATGTTGCAAGGCTAGTGCAAGACTGACGTAACACGGAAACAGCAAATTCCTCATCCCTTGCTATTGGGGATCGTGATACTGTGTCATCGCGTTGTAACAAGAGGACGCATCCAAAAACCCAGACCTCTCCAAGTAGCAAGGGGGAGGAATTTGCTGTTTCCGTGTTACGTCAGTCTTGCACTAGCCTTGCAACATAGCACAGGATTTCACGACACTTATCAGTGTCTCCTGTGCATAACGCCGGTTGTTGCCATCGGATACCAAAGTCCGTGACTTGCCTCGTCCAGTTGGTTGTGAACAGTGTTGTTGCACCAACGCATGCGTATTCCATTTGGCGACCGGGGAGCACATGCACGGCCGAATGGACGTACTTAGTATTAGGCGATGATAGAGCAATAGGACGAGTTGACACCTGGCCTGACCATTGAAAAATGAGTAGACTCATTTTGAATGCCCCTTCAGATTATTTCTGTTGCCCAAGTGGACAACTTGGCCGGGAAATGGTATAG